AAATATTGCCGTAAACAGTTTATTTTGCGACACCACGAAACAAACAATAGCGTAAAATTAAACGATAGACGTTTTTATATCGTCATCCGATATATATCGTTATATCGAACAGCCCTATTGGTAGATGTAATTATTTTGCAAAAGCCATGGAAGAATTGATTTTGCAAAATAAGCCCCATTTAAAACTTTGCAGTGATGTGATGTGATACTATGTAAAAACTGGGATAAGACTTTCCAGGGAAACATTGGAAAAATAGAACAAATAGTTGAGTAAGATCCCTGGCTTCTCTCTCACCTCTGCAAGGCATGAAGCGGGTGTGAATGTCGGCTTTAGAACATTACTGTGCGTGTGTGTGTGTGTGCGTGTGTCACCCACTATCAAATGTCAGGAAGGATGCTGGTGAAAGGGGTTTCTAACGCTATCTGACCATCACACATGCAGTTCAGACAGAGCGTAAATCCTGCTTAACTGCACATGTCTAACTTTAGTGAGGAGGAGAATATGAGGCAGCTTTTTCTTCAGCCTGCATCTTATAGCTATCGTGCTGGAAAACAGTGAGACAGGAAATGCGCAGCTGAATGAAACATGGACACTTTTAAGAGAAAATGCAAGACAAGTAGCATTTGCAGTGTTTCCAGAGTCTGCTGAGGCGTTCTGATTCTTCGTTACAAGGTCTTTCATTTTTTTTTATTTGAAACTCAACTTCATATATAAAATGTGAGGGGCATAAAAGTGCAATCTGCTTGAATCTGAACAGTTTAAAACCATATATAACAGTGAATGCACCAGTTGTTTTATAAACATGTAATTGGGTCTGGGAAATAAAACAACTTTTTTTTTTTTAAAAAGGCAGCCAGCAAATAAATAAACAGTTTACGTCCAACCCTGTTACAGATTTAAAAGAAGAAATAAAATGTTGTCTAGAGATCTGTGACAGTTTTAAAAAAAGCTACAGTATTGAGGCTAGCGGGTAGACCAACTTATCTGCAATCCCAGCTGATCATCTCACACATTCATTTCCACCTCAGCTCCTTCTTTGCTGCATCTAAATTAATCAATATTATATGTGTTCTCTCTATAGATTAAAAGGGGTCTTGTGCTCCTGGTCTTAAGAACATAGAACAGAAATCCAAGTTTCAGTATAGTGGTCCTGGCTCAGGGTTACACACACTAAAACCCTGAGCCTTTTTATGAACCTGAGGTGGAATTGGGAACGCAAATGTCTGACATCGCCCCGTCATCCGATCTGTGCCATTTTCCTGCACTTCACTCAGGCAGCAGCCTCATTTCCAGAAGTGAGAACATGGATCACTTTCGCCAGCTGTGCTTTAGACTGGCAGCCACGTTTAATTTCAGTTCAGTTTCATTTAATTTAGAGAGGGCAAAATCAGAAGTCGTCTCAAGGTGTTTCATATTGTAAGGTAAAGATCCTACAGCAATAGAGAGAAAGCCCCAACAATCAGCTGACACTTGGCGACAGTGGGAAGGAAAAACACCCTTTTAATGGAAGAAACATCCAGCGAGCTCAGGCAGGGACTGCCACCTTTAAATACAAAGTGGTGTGCAACACATATTTATAAGAGGTGTGTTTAGAAGAAATAAGCCATCATAGGAAATGTGATGAAAGTTGAAAGCTCCCATTCTACTTATAAGTACCCTCAGAACCACAAGTAAACCAGCAGACTGAGACTGCTGCTATATTGGGGTGATATGGCACTATGAGGTCTTTAAGATAAGATGGGGACTGATTATCCAAAATGTGAGGAGAAGAATTTAAAATTTGATTTTGGATTTAACAATGAAGAAAATCCAATATGGGAGAAATGTGCTCCTTCTTCCTAGTCCCTGCCAGTACTCTCGCTTCAACATTTTAAATGAACTGGAGGTTTCTTAAGGAGGTTTTAGGACAACCTGATAATAATGAATTAGAATAGTCCAGCCAATAAACTCTAAACTAGTTTTTCACATCACTCTTACACAGGATTGTTCTGCACAAATGCAAGAAAGCAGTCAAGCTAACATGGATGTCTTTGAGAGGAAGCACATACAGGGTTTGCACGCAAACTTCACACAGGATCGTCTTACTCTGAGGTGACAGTGCTAACCGCTGCACCATCGATACATGTGAGAAAGGAGAGCAGATGATGCCCTGACCTGATTCTGCCAAAAGGTTTCGGAGTTTTTATGTGAAAACGGCTTTAGTGAGGAGTGGGACTACCACGTGCTGCCAGAACAGCTTTGGAGTGTCTTGGTATTTATTTCGCAAGCCTCTGGATCTCTACTGGAGGGAAGTAATCATGCTTTTCCAAAAGAATCACATTTTCTTAATTATTTAAAGCATTCTTTACCTTTTTAACTCTTTCCCCCATGACTGCTTTAGATCAAAATGACTGGTTGTGCATCAAAAGTTAGTGAGAGTGATCTCTGCCTGTGTAGCTCACTGGAGCAACCCTTGGAAAAAAGTGTGACCCATTCTAATAGTCATCCAACCACATTAATCTATCTATCTCTATATCTATCTCTATATCTATCTATCTCTATATCTATCTATCTCTATATCTATCTCTATATCTATCTATCTCTATATCTATCTATCTCTATATCTATCTCTATATCTATTAGAGGTGTCAAAACTTGTCATTAAGAGTACAGGAGATGTCGTTTTTAGGGGGAAAGAGTTGATGAAGAATTGGCATCACTTGCCAAGACACCACTACCATCAGTATGGAAAATTTTCATTATAGGATAAAGGTGATGCCTCAGAAGGGATTTGTATTGATTTGCAGTTGCTCTTTCCTCCAGGGGGACACCTGCCCCAAAATAATTACTGGATCTCCTCGTTTGTAGAGGTCAAGTGTTGAGATATTTCCTTCACTTTATCACCCCTCTGTAGATCCGCTGTATTGGATTAACTGAGATAAATTACACGTTTGTTACCATTGGCTTAAAATGTATTTGTCTTTTTTAATATGTGCACCGCCCTTATTGGATACATGCTGATGTAATTGTGCAGCCATCTTCAGATTCAGCTGAAATAAAACCTGTAAAATTGAATTGTGAACGCAGTATTGCCAAAACAGCCTCCTTCGCCCACTCTGACTCGAACGCACACACAGTCAGCCACGCACACACATACGCGCACTTTCAATCGCACTTCCACTCCATCAGTGGCAGGCCGAGTCTTGTATCCCCACTACGACCTCCCCACTCCTCCTCTAATAGCATATCAGGTTGCCCCACTCCCCCAGCCAGCGGCAGCACCTCCATTTCCCCAGCGCTGTAATTACTTTAGGGAGCTTCCGCGTGGGCACAAGCAGCTACGGAGCTATGTTTTAGTGCGCGTGCACGTGCGCGCGTGCACGTGCATTCACTTACGAGAGTGAGCCGGTGTGAAATTGAACACAAACAACTCTGTGTGTGCGTGCATGTGTGTTTGTGTGTGAGTGACAACAAGCGAGAGACCAAAATGTGTGTGTGAGTGAGAGATCTGTGTGTTGTTTGTTTTCCAGTGACAGAGCCAGTCCCCCTGCAGACAGAGTGGGTGATTAACAGGGTTGACGCCTAGAAGGTGGCCCTCTCATTAACACTGAACACACACACACAGACACACAACAGAAGCGGTTTCTCTTCTGTCTCTCCTTTTCTCTCACAGTGTCTCTTCCTCTTTGTGTCTTCTCTTTGCATGTGTGTGTGAACATGTCTGAAGTGTAGAAGTAAGGAAAGGGACTGTTACCGATCACATCGACTTGTCTGGATAATTAATAATTCTAAATAATAAATGAGGCAACGTCTCTTGTTCCACGTGCGCACACATGTGGATCCCGCTGCTGTGGGATGATTGCAGAGATTAATGAAACTCATCCTGCACACAAACAGCTGTAAGCCACAAACAGAACTTCAGTACGCCCTTTAAATTAAGCAACTGTTTATATTCTCTGGCAGTTCATACATGCAAATTTCATTTGTATGAGGGAAGCTGGCGTGTACATGAGAAGGAGGATAAAATGACAAACTGGCAGATTAATTATGCAAATCAGTTGATCGGTTTATTTTTACGTGCCGTCATAGCTTCGGTTTCAGCAGCTCATCGTTTTACATCAAATGACATCGAACAAAGAACATCGGAGGTTGTTATTAAGCTGTTTACTTAAAAACAAAGGCAAAAATGAAAAGGCGAATAAAGTCTTCCGCAGTGTTTCAAGATTACTGTACCCCTGTGAATTCTTGTTCTTATTAATCTGCAGTGTAATGATGCCTTTCGGGAATCATCTCTCGGATTTAAGAAGGCCCGTATAATGTTTTTTATGATCATATTAGCATTCGTTGCTTTTGGTGGAAAAAAGCAACGAAGCAAACTGAAGATGCTTCGAGTGTTCCAGCTGAGAAACAGAATTTTTGTGTGATTTGCAATTGTGGCGCAATCAAAATGCACATTAGCTTCAAACGTGATTTGTCACATGCAGTCAGTTGAGCATGATAAATTGTTAGCATGGAGCTCCTGCACAGACAATTTTCTGGCAACAGTTTGGTGCCTGTGTTTTTATAGCTTCTTCTTCTTCTCTTTGTGTAGTACTATGAGATGTCCTACGGGCTCAACATCGAGATGCACAAACAGGTAAGTCTGTATTTAGTCTCCTTAAAGTTCGCTCTTTTATTCCCATCACATAGGATGTAAAACTGTTGTATGATCATAAACAGAAGATTGCTTTTGTGAAGAAAATTGAAACACAGGAGGATGCCTTTTCTGCTTGCAGGATGTGATGGATTCAAACTGAGGGGCATGCATGTTTATCAAGTTTCTATTGTACCTCCTGTGTGTGTGTGTTATGTTGCTTAAGGCTTCCTTTCTAACATGCTTCTATAAACTGAGGCGTCTCCATCGTCATGTAACTACTGCCGAGGGTTATCCGTCTAATTTTTTGTTATTGCTTTTACCAATGTTTAGAATTTTTCTTCCTGTCAGTTAGCTTTGACATGTGGATTTAAATACTACAGGAAAAAATCCAAAGAAGCCAAATCTGAGTGAAATATGCTTTTGTGCTGTCAGCAGGAAGTAGCTACTTTCCTCAGCATAAATGAATTATTTTCTAAACCTGGCTAGCAGCTGTCTGACAGGCAGTGCTCTCTCTATACGTGTTATGGATAAACCTGCGAGAGCCACAAGTAAAAGTTGTAGTAATTTCAGAGCAATTTGTTTTAATATTTACAGATGAATCATACATTTCGTCATTTTGTACTCTATGATTGAAAAATGTCTCAAGGACTCGCTGTCCTGTAGCGTTGCTTGTTGTTCATACTGACGATTCAGCTGGGAGAATTTCCTGGACTTTGAGGTGCCAGTTAGCTAACCTCATCAATGCAGATAAAAAGACTTTTAATACTTACTGAACCTTGAATTATGCACTTCGTTACAGGGTTCTTTTTTCTTTAACCTGGCTCAGATGCATCGGTTGCCAGGATAGGGAATGTCTCCATAAGTTACCTGTTGCATGTGCCTCACTGATGTTTGACTGGCAGATCCACATTGCTGTATTGTGGTCGCCTTATTATGCTACAGACATAGACATAGACATACTCAGAGAGCAGCTTAGTGTTTTTTTGATGGGACGGGTGAGTAAATAGTTTAAACTTGCATTTTTTTTAATGGCCAGCAGGGGGCGACTCCCTTTCCTAACAAACGTATGTCTGGTAGTATAGATGTCTATGGGGCAATGGCCCTTGGCTACCTAGCTGTGTGACATCAGATCACCTTCCTGATGAGTTCATGAGCTCAGTCACTAGTTTCAGGTCACTGATTAAAACACCAAGTTCAGTTTGGAAATTATGGTCATTACTAGAATAAGTCTAGTAATTTTTGTAAAAAGGATTTTTTAGGATTTCCGTTCATGGTCTCAGGAGTCTCATCTCTGCTTTTGGCGGATGGTGTGGTTCCTTTGGACTCATCAAACTTGCTCCGGAAGCCGAGTGTGAAGCAGCTGGGGTGAGAATTTAGCACCTGAAACTCCAAAGCCACGTTCTTAATCAGAAAAGGGCAGCGTGTCCACTGCAGGGTGCAGGAGCGAGCTGCTACCTCAAGTGGATGATATCTTAGGATCTTGTTTACAAGTGAGGGAAGAGGAAAGCAGGAGGCTGACAGATAGATGAATGCAGTGTCAACGGTGATGCAGACGCAGTACTGGGCTGTTGTGGTGAAGATAAAGTATGAAAGTACATCTAT